AACCACTAGGATATTAGGAACAAGAATAGCTCGCTTATAAGAAAAAAACCAAAACCAAAACCACATAGCTGGCACATGAAACTAGGACACTTTGCAAGATACCCCGTGACCTGGGGTGAAAAATAGGTGACACGACATTTAGCTATTTAGCATCACAAGCATAAAGGTTTAGGGGGCTACAATGCAAATAACCAATCAATATTATCTGTTGTGCATACATTATTAGGGAAAAGGCAAAAGGGTTGAAGGCGACCCCCCCTTGACTATAAAACTTGCTGTAGGATTGCAAAATGGGCCCTTTGTTAGCTTTCGAACCAGAGTCCTTATATCTTGGTACCAAAATATAAGTATAATTTGTGTTTGGTGACTTATCGGCTACGACACCAAGCAAGAGCCCAGTTTTGGAGACAACACTAGCACTGGCCCAGGCCTACCGGCTTGGACTTCTCCCAAGGCCTCACCCACTCCAGCAGTGCGTTTCAAAAAAGTTTACCACAGGTTCGGTGGGCGTGGCTTGGCGCAGGTGCTCACACTTTGCTCATGTGCGCATGCCAAATGCGCGCTTTGCGCAGGCACAGAGGCTTTCCGATTCACCTCCGGCAATCCTGCACTCTCCCTGTCGCTTCAGCAGCTGACGCGCAGCAATCTGCTGTGCCGCGCAAAGCAGCTGCGCTTCAAAAGCAGGACATAAAAGTCAGTAGGGGAGGCCGGGCCGGCGGGTGCGCCCAACTGCAGAGCGTCTTAGAGAACTGATTCGGTCTCTGCTGCTCTTCGGCGCTACCAGCATACTAGAACCGGACCGAACCGGTAGAATACCACCACTGCCCCACTCCCCTGAGATGCTGCATGCTCCACTCTCTGTCCTTTGAGTCCCCAGAAACCTTTTCCTCAGTGTTGGGATTCAAAAAATTTTTGCTACTGGTTCTGTGGGTGTGGTGTAGCTTGGTGGGCATGGCTTGGTAGGTGTGGCAGGGGAAGGTCACTGCAAAATCCCCATTCCCTCCCCACCCCACTAACCTGCTTTCCAGCTCTGTTCTCCTGGGCAGGGCAACCAAAGGAGACCCAGCCAATCAGTTGGGACTCAATGGGAGGCAGAGAATAGATGGGGGCGGGGCCAGTCAGAGGCGGTATTTGCCGGTTCTCTGAACTACTTAAAATTTCCGCTACTGATTCTCCAGAACTGGTCAGAACCTGCTGAATACCCACCTCTGACATGGCCCCTGTTGTAACGGTTGCGTTGCAAGTGTGATTCCACCCCCCCCCCCAGGGATTATACCTGATTCCCCCCCTCCACCAACCAGGTCAAACACCTCCTTCTTACATCATTTGAAGAGCTCTAAGGCCTTCCAGAGGGCCGATGAACCGACTACTTCATCACACGGCTACATGGCGCAATTCTCGAAGCAGTCGCCATTTTGTCCCATCTTCAAAATGGACCTGTTTGGGTTGCTCAGCACTGGGACAAACTGCCCCCCTTAACGAGATCTCCACATAGCAATAGCATTTAGATTTATATACCGCTTCACAGGGGGCTTTTCAGCCCTTTCTAAGCGGTTTATAAGCTTAGAAGCTTGCCGCAGTGCTGTTGCCAGACTTGTTCAGGCAGCAAAACAAGGCAGCTGCTCTGTTGGCCACCATTTTGTCCCTGGCCACAAGCTTGCATGCCATGAGGCAGAAGCAATGGGCCAATGCATGTCGGCAAAAAGCAGAAAATAGGTTGCATTATTATATCAGCGACGATGATTTTGCTCTCTTTCAGCTGTACGAAGTACTTCCCTGGCTGATGCGTCACATTCCTGGGCCGCATCAAAAGACACTGTCCCACATTAAGTTTATCTATGATCTGGCAAAGGAGGAGATAGAGAAGCACAAGGAAAACCAGTCCTTGCACGAACCCCGGGATTTTATCGATTACTATCTTCTTCAGTTGAAAAGAGTGAGTATTATCTCGCATTGGAATGCCTCCTTTCCTTATTTTGGAACACAAGCAACAGCCCAACCATTTGAACCATCTACCGTAAGAGCATTATTCAGATTATTCTCTCTGCCCCTCCTCGCTCCAACGGCCTTCCTAGCACAGATAGTCCTTGACTTACGACCACAACCGATCCTAATACTTCTGTGAAGTGAAGCATTTCTTAGGTGGATTTTGCCCCCTTTTCCAACTTTTCATTCCATGGTTTTTAAGTGAATTTCTGCCATGGTTAAATTAGTAACCCGGTTGTTAAATGAATCTGGCTTCCCCATTGGCTTTGCTGGTCAGAAGGTCGCAAAAGCAGGTCACATGACCCCAGGACACTGCAACTGTCATAAATATGAGCCACTTGCTAAGGGTTCCAATTTGGATCATGTGGTCCGGTGGTGGGATTCAAATTTTTTTAATATGGGTTCTGTGGGCATGGTTTGGTGGACGTGGTGTGGCTTGGTGGGCGTGGTGGGGAAAGGTTACTGCAAAATCCCCATTCCCTCCCCACCCCACTAACCTGCTTTCCAGCTCCGTTCTCCTGTGCAGGGCAACCAAAGAAGATCCAATCGATCATCTGGGACTCAATGGGGGGCAGAGAATAGATGGGAGCGGGGCCAGTCAGAGGTGGGATTTGCTGGTTCTCCAAAATTTCTGCTATCAGTTCTCCAGAACTAGTCAGAACCTGCTGAACACCACCTCTGACATGGCCCCTGTTGTAATGGTTGCAAATGTGAAAACAAACATACATTCCCTTTTTTCCAGTGCTGCTGTAACTTTGAATGGCCACTAAATAAACTGTTGTAAGTTCAGGACTACCTGTACTGAAGGAAGCTGTTTCCTTTGCTCTACAAGGCAGCCTTCTTAGGTAAACATCAGAGCTGCGTAACCCATACATTCATAGGCAGAACAGGGCTTCAGAGCATGCAGTCTCTGTCTGCAGTCTTAGTGGACAACCAGCTGAATAGGAGCCAGCAGTGTGCAGCAGCAACCAGAAAAGCTAATGCAATCCTACGTTGCATTAACAGAGGGATACAATCGAGATCAAGTGAGGTACTAATACCACTCTATAAAGCCTTAGTAAGATCACACCTAGAGTACTGCATCCAGTTTTGGTCACCACATTATAAAAAAGATGCTGAGGCTCTAGAAAGAGTGCAGAGAAGAGCAACCAGGAGGATTAGGGGACTGGAGACTAAGGCGTATGAAGAACGGTTACAGGAACTGGGTATGGCTAGTCTAGTAAAGAGAAGGACCAGGGGGGACATGATATCAGTCTTCCAATATTTGAGGGGCTGCCACAGAGAGGAGGGGGTCAAGCTATTTTCCAAGGCACCTGAAGGCCAGACAAGAAATAATGGATGGAAACTGAACAAGGAGAGCTTCAACCTGGAAATAAAGATAAACTTTTTGGCAATGAGAACAATCAAACAGTAGAACAGAAGTTGCTTTTGGAACTTGTGGGAGTTTCATCACTGGGAGCTTTCAAGGGGAGACTGGACTGCTGATCTGTCAGAAATGGTGTAGGGTCTCCTGCTTGGGCAGGGGGTTGGACGAGATTAGCGGTCACCAACCAGTCGGCCGTGAGAAAATTTTGGTGGGCTGCAGAGAAATCTCACCTGCAGAGCACCCCCACAAAGCAATTAATCCAGGATGCTCAGAAACACAAGGCTGCTCGGCCCACATGGCCCGCGGGAACCCTCCCCACCCACTCATTCCTTACCCGGCAAACTTGTCTGCTAAGTTACTATTTTTCCTTTTTCCGACCATCATCTGTTCTGCTGTGCAGGGAGATTTAGATTAGCTAGGAGGAAATGGTTGGATTTCTTGCTTTCTAGCTAAGCACAGCAAAACCTCCCTTAGGACTGAAGGTTTGCTTGCAAGCAAATTCAGTGCAGACTCACCACAAGCAAATTTGAGAGAATGAGCTAGCTGATGACAGATAGATAGATAACTGAATGATTCTGTGAGCAACTCAATCTGCCTGCTTTGCATGATTTTGGATAAAAGTTGCTTCTTCTATATAACAAATTCAATATTTACATACATGGTGTGTTGTGAATTAATTTTGTGAGTTTGCTTGCAAGCAAATTTTATGTGACAGACTGAGCTAGCCAATGGCAGATAGATAGATTTCTGAATGAATCTGTGATTCTGTGAGCAACTCAATCTGCCTGCCTGCTTTGCCTGATTTTGGGTAAAAGTTGCTCTTTTTTAAAAATAAAAAAAATCAATATTTACATGCATGGTGTGTTGTGAGTTAATTTTATGAGTTTGCTTGCAAGCAAATTTTATGTGACAGACTGAGTCGCCAATGACAGATAGATAGATCTCTGAATGAATCTGTGATTCTGTGAGCAACTCAATCTGCCTGCATTGCCTGATTTTGAGTAAAAGTTGCCCTTTTTTAATAAAAAGATCAATATTTACATCAATATTTATAATATTTACATACAAGCCATGCCAGCCAGTCACATGGTCACCAAGCCACACCCACAAATTAGGCCACGCCCACAGAACCAGTTAGTGATCCCTGGGATCTAAAATTATGAGTTTGGTGGTCCCTGAGGTCCAAAAGGTTGGCGACCCCTGGACTAGATGACTTGCAGGGTCCCTTCCAACTCGTTAATTTGTTTTCTTATGTTAATCTTATGACCGTTGCAGCATCTCCATGGCCACGTGATTTACATTCAGAAGTTTGACATGTGCCTCACATTTATGACGGTTGCAGAGTCCTGGGGTCATGGGATCGCCTTTGGCTACCTTCTGACAAGTAAAGTCAATGGGGAAGCCAGATTCACTTAATAACCGTGTTGCTAATCTAACAACGGCAATGATTCACTTAACAAACGTGCAGGAAAAGTTGTAAAATGGGGCAAAACTCATTTAACAAATTTCTCACTGAGCGACATAAATATTGGGCTCGATTGCGGACATCAATTGAGGACTACCTACCCTGGAGGCTACATTGTCAGAGCCATAAAGTTGCACAGATTTGAGCTTCTTTATTTTAGTTTTTATTCTTTTTTTTAAAGCATCTTAATTTTCCTCTTCAGGCAAATCTGACTATTGTTATCACATTCTTGTCAAAGAGTTAAAGAGGTAGAAAGTGTTAGATCGGTGGATCGGTCACATAAGAGGCGAGACGCGAAAGTGAACAATCAGCTCTTTATTGAGGCATCTGAATAAGGACAGTTAAAGTGTGCGAGCCGCTTGGCTTTATACAGCCGGCCGGCGGCTCGGCGGCCAATGGCAGCGCTTTGAATCTCCCGCGATCAGCTCGGCCAATCGCGGTAGATTCTTAGCGCTCCAATCACAGTCATTTAACAGACCAATCGGGTTGCGGTTCGGGTAGACCAATCAGAATGCGAGTCTTCGAGAATGTTAATACAGAACAAAAGCCCCACGCAGATGGGCAAGATCAAAGAAGCAAAACCTTCACAGATTTTACTGAGGTTTTGTTAATGCTCATCTGGGTAAATATAGACGCTTAGAAAAGTATAAATGGAAGTTTGTAGCATTGTTTTTAGTAAGTCTCTTTGAAGTATCTGAAATCTTCTTCCCAGGTACCTTACACCTGGACTCAATGGATGTTTATGAGATAAGCTGCCTATTGCCTCACCTACTATCTATTTTATATCTAACTTCCCTTTCCATTCCTCTCCAAACAGGGATGGGATCTGACTGGTATAACTACCGGTTCTGTTGCTCTGCGTCACACGAGTGCAATTTATGACCTGCTGAGCTGCCCAGACAGCTGAGCAGTGCTGCGTGCAAGTGTGCAGTGGTTGGAAAAGCCCTTTTTTCCTGCTTTTTCAACCGCAGCTGTGTCGCGCAAAGCAGCTGCGGTTGAAGAAGCAGGAAATAAAGGTCAGGTAAGAGCCCAGGCGGGCGGGTGGGCCAAAGCAGCAGCAGACATAGAACCGAGTTCTTCAGAACTACCGGTTCTACAGAGGTGGACAGAACTGGTAGAATCCCACCCCTGTTTCCAAGCCTCCTCACAATTTCTCACAACGCCTTGTAGATGCCGTAAATGTCCTCCTAACTGAGAACCAAGTTCTGATGTCCATTTCTAGACAGCAGAAGAATGTGGACTTGTTCATGTTCCATGATACCTGAATAGAGTTTGCTACAACTAACGTTGATTTTTCTTTAGAGCTTTTGATAGGTTTGGACCTTGTACAGTGGTTTGGATTCCCCTCATTGGATCACTTTGAGAAAAAGTGACAGGGAAATTTTGCTTGGTCTATTGGCAATTGGAATCTATCTTAAAGACAATCTTGGTGGCGTGTCCTAGTGCAGTGGTTGCCAACCAGTGGGCTGCGGACCCCTGGTGGTCCGCGACAAAATTTTGGCAGTCCGCAGAGAAATGTCACCCCCACAGCAATTAATCCAGGCTACGCGGGAACACAAGGCTTACATCGCTTACATTGCAAACAACACAAGGTAGTTAGGGGAGGGGGGAAAGGACAGAGGGGGGGAACTTGCCCGACTCGCCCTACACACCTGGCCTGGCCACCGAGATGCTTCTTTGCGCTTCTTTCTTCTTTTGCTTTTAGCTGAATGCAAGAAAAGCAGTAAAAGTGTTTCTTTGTCTCCCCCAAACTCCTCCAGAAATGAGTCTTTGGGACCCTGCAAGAAATCCTGCTCCAAGAGGCTCTGCTGGCAAAGACTCATTCCTGATGGAGTTTAGGGGAGAGAAAGAAAGACTTCTGATGCTTCTGCTGTTTTCCTTGCATGAAGCCAAAAGTCTTTCTCTCTCTCTCCCCGTGAGAATGGAGCTGGATATGGTATCTTGTGATCCCAAAGAAAGAATGATCGATCGGTAGGAAAACAGGGTGGGGAATTTTCCTGCAGACTTTTTGGGGGATTTTCCCAGGGACTCTGGTCCATGGGATTTAAAATTATGAGTTTGGTGGTCCCTAAGGTCCAAAAGGTTGGTGACTTGTGGACAATCACATAAATATAACCCAACAAAAAAGAATGCTAATGGAATCTGTGGTTGCACAAACAGAGGGATAGATTCCAGATCATGTGAAGTGTTAGTACTGCTTTATAAAACCTTAGTAAGACCACATCTGGAATACTTCATGCAGGTTTGGTCACCTCATTATAAAAAAGATGCTGAGACTTTGGAAAGAGTGCAGAGAAGAGCAACTCAAATGATTAAGGGCCTGGAGACTAAGACATATGAAGAATGGTTGCAGGAATTGGTTATGTCTAGTCTAGTAAAAAGACTAGAAAACCTTCAAGGTCACTTTCAACTTGTATTATTTATTCTGTATTCTGTACCTATCTTATGAATAATCTCTATGCAGTCATTTTCAACCATGTCAGTCATCAGATCCTAGCTATCTCAGAAAAAGCTAGATGGGGTTTAGCACTTGGATGGGAGATCTCTGGGAGATCCCAGATCGGTAAGCTACACTGTCAAGTTTAAAAACAACCCGGAAGAAGATAATGGTTTACTAATAGTGTGACTAAATAATTATGTTTCTGCATAATCCCTTAATTACCGATGCTAACAAAACAATGCTTAGGATCATTCAGTACAGATTAGAATTCAAATTGGAAAAGAGGTGCCAGATGTTCCAGCTGGCTTTAGAAAAGGCCAAGGAAGATGAGGCACTACAGATAGTCCTTAATTTACAGAAGCTCATTTAGTGATCGTTCAAAGTTACAGCCACACTGAAAAAAGTGATATGCCCAGTGGTGGAATTCAAAATATTTTACTACTGGTTCGGCACACTTCACCCATGCGCAGAAGGTTTGCTACTGAACTTCTCCTGCAATCCTGCACTCTCCCTGTGTGTTAAACACGTGGCGCATGTGCAGTCTGCTGTGCTGCGTGAAGCAGCTGAGCTTGAAAATCAGGAAATAAAGATCAGAATAGAGCTGGGGCAGGTAGGCGGGCAGGCCCAGCAGCTGATCATCGGAGCGAACCCAGTTCGCTCACAGATGATCCTTAGAGCTACCTGGTCGGCTGAACCAGGCGGAACTGGTAGAATACCACTGCTGGATATGCCCATTTTTCACACTTGTGACCGTTGCAACATCCCTATGGATAGATTACAAAAAGACGGGGGTTGCCTCTATCATTTTGACTTTTTTTTTTTTTGCCTCCCTGAAAGGAACAGGTCGAGTTCCAGAAAAGGATCTTAGAGGAGCTTCAAACTAATTTTTTTCCTGTCTCCTCATTAATGGGCATTATAGATCACCATCGCAGCTCAAAACTCTTTGCAGAGATGCTTACCCACGAAAAAGTTTGATCCATACCTTCACTCTAATGCTATTTCTTTTTAATAACCTAAACAGAGCCAGAATGATCCTAGCGATACCTATGATGAAGATAACCTAGCTGAGTGCATTGTCGATTTTTTTATAGCTGGGACAGAGACGAGTGCCACTAGTTTGCAATGGGCATTGCTTTTCATCACCAATCACCCAGATGTCCAAGGTGAGAGCTAAGGAATTAAAGAGGTGTTCTTCATCCCACGGGGAGGAATTTATGTTCTCTGGCAGAGAGTTGTAATCTCTCTTTGAATTCAAACAGGGTGGATAATGATAAATAGCTAAACAGTGTCACTCTTAGTGGCCAAATGGATAGATTATCTCTTGGCGGATCTGATTTTGTCCTGGCTGTTTGAGTCCCTTAGTGGTGAATTCCTTTTTTCTTTTTACAAATTTTATTAGGTACATTATTTAAAAACATTGAACATGGTGAAATCATACTTGACATATCTTTTCGCCTTACATCTTATAATATATATTTATGATATACATTTATACATATCGAATGTTTTTACATTTAATTTTCCTTTAATACATCATTCAGTCTTCATGTAATCACATAGTCTCAGCTACCCCTTCTACAAATCCTGTTGCTCTTTTCCATTTTGGGTCCTCCCTTTCCATCATATAATATAAATCATATAATATTCTGACTCGTCCTTGCATTTCATTTCTAAAGTCATTCTATCCATTCCAGCGCATAACAAGATTTTATTTATCGCTGCATCTTAACTTGGGATTTCTCTCGCCTTTCATTTCTGGGCAACCACCATTCTTGTTCTGACCCAAACCTTGTTCCAAGGAAACAAAAGACCAAACAGAGGTAAAAGCAAAACCTTTTAATGCTTCTCTGCGAATTCCATTCATTCACAGTTAAAAGGCTGTGAAAACTAATTTGATAAGAACGAGCCTTGCCAAGGTTGTGCAAGGCTGCCAAGAACACTAGATAAAGTTACCAAGAAATATTTCAAACACAGAATCTCCAAACACAAACTAAGAGAGTCCAAATGTCCACAAGGCTTGAAGTACAAGAACTTCTTTGCTTCCTGCAAAGAATCCTGGTTTCTCAGGCTGGCTTTTATCCTTTATGGGAGGGGCCATTACCTTGCAGCCTTACTCCCGAGTTGCCCATGCTGCTGCAGCTGCTCTTTCCTTCGAGCAGCCCTGCGCACACATGCACTGGGCACAGGCTCCTCGGGGTCCTCTGCATCGCTGTTGCCAGCCTCCACAAGCTCCGAAGGGAGCATTCCACTCTCTGATAGTCCTGACCCCATCCCTGCATCACATGCAGGCCCCATATCTGAATCTTCGCTCGCTGAGGCCTAAGCTGTCCGCAGCTGCTGCTGGCGAGCCACAACAATTTTTGCCGCCATAATAACATGGATTATTATTATCGTACTATCCCGAGGATGGTCGTAAAATGAGTCATTATGACCGAACCAATTTTACAGCCTGTTTTGGGTGGCAATTGTTAAAAACCCCATTGTTTTCTGCAGAGCATTTTTGCCAAAAACAGGAAGTAAGTACCAGGAAGTTGGACAAATGTCATAAATTGTGGTCATGTGACCAAGGGATGCTACCAAGGGCTGTAAGATATCAGCTGGTTGCTGGATGCATCGCATGATTGGAGGGTACATGTGTCACAATTTCAGAATCAGGTTGTAGGTTTCTTTTGAGGGATCCACCGTAACTTGAACAGTCGCTAAGCAAGGATTACCTGTATTGCTTAAATTTTGATTTTTCAGCAGGAAGTCTAGCTAGGTTGGCCCTCAATTAAAAGGAAACTTCTCTGTTGGAAAAAGTGAAACCACACAGGAGAGCCAGTTTTGTCTAGGCTAAAAAGCCAGAGACTGTGAGTTTAAGTGCCCCCCTTTAGGCATGAAAGCCGGCTGGTGACTTTGGGTGAATCACCCAGAGACGGTGAGTTCTAGTCCGGCCTTAGGCATGAAAGCCAGCTGGATGATTTTGGCCCAGTCCCTGTCTCTCAGCCCAACTCACCTCACATGGTTGTTGTGGGGAAAATAGGAGAAAGGTATGTGGGATGTGTTCACCGCCTCGAGCTAAAAATAATAATGGTGGGATACAAATTAAACAAACAAATAAATAAGTTAAAATCATAGCTAAAGAAACCACTTTGTTCTCTTATTTTTCCTCAGATAAAGTATACAAGGAGATACAAAATATTTGCCCCTCAGGCTTGATTTGCTATCGGGATCGAAAGAAACTGCCTTATACCAACGCTGTGATTCATGAGATCCAGCGGATCTATTACGTCTTAAGTTTTGGTATTGCCAGAAGATGCAGGAAGGATACGAACATGCTTGGTTTTTACATTCCAAAGGTACAGATCATTTATACCATTGCAGTCGTGTGTTGAACGGAGTTCTTTTAGATATGTGTTTTGATGTTTAATAATATAATAATAATGTTCATAGATACTTAGATCTATCATATAGATACTTATAGATACACAAGGACAATTTTTCCCCGATCGACTCCGCTAAACAAATAATTCCCTCAACCTTGTCCAACTATTGACAAAGTCTGCACTACTATGACTATTAATCTTCTCATCACTCCTTATCACCCGTCCCCTCCCACTTAACAGATAACAGATAATCAGAGTTGGAAGGGACCTTATAGGTCATCTAGTCTAACCCTCCACCCAAGTGGGAGACCCTACACCAGGGGTGTCAAACTCAAGGTCCGGGGCCCAGATCCGGCCCGTGGGGTGATTAGATCTGGCCCGCTGGGCCACCCTGGAAACGGCGAAAGACTGGCCTGCGGTGCCTCTGCCAGCAAAAACAGAACTCGGGTGGGCTGCACACAGCCCTCTTGAGCTCTGTTTTCATTGGCAGAGAGTTACTTACAGGAGGCTGTTGCAGTTTTCTCTGGCAGAGGGCTTGGGGCACCACAGGCACCCCTGACACGAGGGATGTTGAGCTGACCACACCCACTCTGGCCCTCTGAGGTAAAATACAATCCTGATGCAGCCTTCAATGAAATCGAGTTTGACACCCCTGCCCTACACCATTTCTGACAGAGGGGAGTCCAATCTCTTCTTGAAAGTCCCAAGTGATGGCACTCCCACAACTTCCGAAGGCAACTTCTGTTCCATGGGTTGATTAGTTCTCACTGTCAAAATAAGTTTCCCTTTATTTCCAGGTTAAATCTTTCCTTGTTCAGTTTCCATCCATTATTTCTTGTCTGGCCTACAGGCACTTTAGAAAACAGCTTGACCCCTCCTTCCTCTCTGTGGCAGCCCCTCAAATATTGGAAGACCACTATCATGTCTCCCCTGGTCCTTCTCTTCACTAGACTAGCCATGCTACTTGTGACTGTATAACTATAACTTTGTCGCTTGTATCCTTATGATTTATATGGACTGTTTCCTAGTATGATTTGATTGCTTGTTGTACCCTATGACTATTATTAAGTGTTGTACCTGATGATTTTTGACTCTTGATGAATGTATCTTTTCTTTATGTGCACTGAGAGCATTTGCACCAAGACAAATTCCTTGTGTGTCCAATCACATTTGGCCAAGAAAGAATTCAATTCTATTTCTATTTCTATTTCTATTTCTATTCTATTCTATTCTATTCTATTCTATTCTATTCTATTCTATTCTATTCTATTCTATTCTATTCTATGGAATTTCTGACCTGGCACAGAATATGAAAAGTGAGATCTTCGCTTCCTTCTCCTCCCAAAGATCTGAAGAACAAAAAACTATAGTGTGCTAGCTATAAGTCATCATCAATTTGTATTGTTATTTGGGATGAAAGTTTAGACCCCCAAACCAATATTGGATGCTTCACATAATGCAGAGAAGTAAAATTTCAAAATATGTTGTGGGAACTAACATTTCAGTATGCTGTTCCGAAAAGAAACGTTGGACTCCAAAGCTGAAGAGAAGTTACGGATGCAGAATAAATGGCCATACGCTGATGTAAAATTATTTAACATATGACAATTCAGAATCGTATAGCCATCTTCAATACAACATTCAGATTTTCCATCTCTTATGACATGCCCATTTTTCACATGACAGTTGCAGCCTCCCCATGGTCACATGATCCAAATTTGGATGCTTGGCAACTGGTTCATATTTACAACGGTTGTGTCATGCCCCCGTCGGAGTCTGAACCTGAGGAGGAAGACAAACAGCTGACAGGGAGTGGGAGTGTGGCTGCGTTGGCTGTGGAGGAAACTGGGGAAGGGCAAAATCCGGCTGGGCAGAGCAGGGAAGAGGTAGAACAAGGGAGAGGGAGTTCAGAGGAAAACCCAGGCCCACCCCCTCTTCATCCTAGGACACACAGGGAGGAATGGAGAAGAGAGCAACATGGTTTGCGTGGCTTATGGGGGAGGAAAGGGCCCTGAGTCCCTTCATTAGCCACACCTGGGAAGAAAGTTTAAAAAAAATGCAGGCTGCATGCATCAGCTTCTGGGAGCAAACTTGAGTTTATGTTGTGTTGTCTTTGCTTATCTGTGTTACTGGTGTTGAGTTATTTCCATGCTTTCACTCTGGAATTCTTGCCCCTGCCCTGTCAAACTAATTACCTCATTTTGCCTCGATTGGACTTATAGTTACATTTTTTGTTGACCACGTTTTGGACTTTGATTCCCTGCAGCCAAAGGCTGTTCCTGGGAGAGTTTTTCTCCAGCCCAGAATGTAACCAGGGCATGGGGGACAAAATTGTGGTGCTAATAAAGGGACTCTTATTGATTAACTGACTGTGTTGCCTTTGTGCCACGCCCTGGGTCATCACAGATTGCGGTGTCTTGATGAGATCACTTGGTCCCCTTTTGTGACCTTCTGACAAGCAAAGCCAAGGGGGAATCCAGATTCACTTCACAACCCTGTTGCTATCTTGAACGACGGCAGGGATTCATTTAACGACTGTGGCCAGAAAGGTTGTAAAATGGGACAAAACACTCTTAACTGTCTTGCTTAGCGACATGCATTTTGGGCTCAATTGTGATTGTGAGTCAAGGACTAGCTGTATCCAACGGCTAATAATTCTCTTGTGAGCAGAACACCTAGGCTTGCAAGCATATCAGCGTGTTCATAGCTATCTATGTCAACCTGGTATTTGAAGAGAGTTGAGAAGGCTTACAATGGTCTGAATTAGTTTCATGCAAACTTGATAGCGGAATCAGAAAGGTTGGAAGATGGAAATGCTGGTTGTCAGGAAGCAACCAAACTATTATTGTACTGGATTTTTTTCTTGGTCAATCGAATAATATCACTGCAACAATTCTCAAACGCTGTCATTTCAGTCATATCCCTGAAACACATTCTGGTTAAGAATAGAATAGCGGCCTGTTTGACTGAGTTGCTTTTTCCTTACAGGGGTCTATAATTGTACCCGATCTCCGTTCAGTTCTTCTGGATCCCGTGCAGTGGGAGACCCCTGAACAATTCAACCCCAATCATTTTTTGGACAAAGATGGAAATTTTGTGGTGAGGGAAGAATTTCTTCCTTTTGGAGCAGGTAAATAATGACCAACCCATGGAACAGAAGTTGCTTTCCGAAATTGTGGGAGCTTCATCACTGGAAGCTTTCAAAAAGAGAATGGACCGCCACCAGTCAGAAATGATGTAGGATCTGCTTGGGCAAGGGGAGGGGTTGGACTAGATGACCTACAAGGTCCCTTCCAACTCTGTTAATCTGAGAGGGAGGGAGGGAAAGAGAGGGAGGAAGGGAAAGAGAGAGAAAAAGAGGGAGGGAGAGAGAAGTTGTGGGAGTTTCATCACTGAAAGCTTTCAAGAAGAGAATGGACTGCCATCTGTCAAAAATGGTGTAGGGTCTGCTTGGGCGGAGGGGTTGGACTAGATGACCTACAAGGTCCCTTCCAGCTCTGTTAATCTGTATCCTGGAAATAGCATAAATAACATCTTGCTGTTTCAAAGCTTCCCTTGGGCAGCCTCTGAGCTCTGTCTTCATGGCTCTGGAACCGACGTGTTGCCATACGTTTCTTAAGATCAAACATATTGCAGCTAGTCCTCGATTTATAACTATTCGTTTAGTGACCGTTCGAAGTGACAACATCACTGAAAAAAAAATGACTTAAGTTATGACCGGTTTTCACAATTAACAACCGTTGCAGCATCCCCATGGTCACTTGCTCCGAGTTCAAGCGCTTGGTTACTGGCATGCATTTATGGTGGTTGCAAGGTCTCAAAGTCATGTGATCACCATGCATAACCTTCCCAGCTGGCTCCTGACAGGCAAAACCAATGGTGAAGCCAGATTTACTTAACAACTGCAAGAGTCACTTAACAACTGCAGTGACTGGTTTAACCACTGTGGCAAAACAGTCATAAAATGGGGCACAGTCCCCTAACTGTGTTGCTTAGCAACAGAAATGTTGAACTCAATTGTGGTCATAAGAGTATCGAAGAGTGGTCGAAGAGTATCTTCAGTGATAGAGGCAACTACTCCGAACAATATATTGGTTAAAATATCTATAGAGATTCTCAGTCATCCAGGTCATGGTTGTCCCAAGGGTGTTTTTTCAGGAGGAAACTGGACTTCCTTGTTTTTTTTCTCTGAAGACGTTTTGCTTCTCATTCAAACAGCTTCTTTTGCTCTGACTGGACAGTGGGGAATGGAAGGATTTATACTCCTTGCAGACAACTGCTCATTTGCATTCTTTATAGAGAGTCATTGAGGCCACTTGGAGGTTTATCTGTGTCCTCAGGGTCACCTGAGTAGTTCAAATGGTTCCTGTAGTCTGCAATTTTTCTGGAAATCTGTTCATGCTCTCACACCATGAGAAGGGTGTTCATCCCAAATTGCATAGCTTAAAAGTCCATTTGCATCACTCCGGTGACCTTGAGGACACAGGCAAACCTCCAAGTGGCCTCAATGACCCTCTAAAAGGAGGCAAATGACCAAATGTCTGCAAGGAATATAAATCCTTCCATTTCCCACCATCCAGTCAGAGCTGAAGAAGCTTCTTGGATGAGAAGCAAAGTGTCTTCTCAAAAACAACAACATCAAAAGCAAAAACCAAAGTCCAGTTGCCTCTTGAAAAAGCACCTTTGGGACAATATATCGGTTAATTTCTTACTTGCTGTTGTCCTCTGTTTCCTCTTCACAGGGGTGCGTATATGTTTGGGAGAGCAGATAGCGAGAATGGAGATTTTCCTTGTCTTTACCAACCTGCTGAGGAACTTCCGGTTTCAGCTGCCTAAGGGAGTGAAACAATTCAGACAAGAACCTATAAGTGGACTTACAGTACATCCCCATTCTTATAAAGCTTGTGCTATGCCCCGTCACAATTTTTTTTGAAAATACCCAGTGATAGTTGCTTATTTATTGCTGTGAATTTCTAAGTGTCTGATTGGTCTTCAAACGGATCGGTTAAACGGTATTAATATGGCAAAGCCAACTACAACGTCCTCCCATTCCCTCTAAACTCCAAGCACCGGAGTCAGGAATATCCCGATTCGTCCTTCCCAGAATCGTTGTGCAGAAGATGGGAGGCTGGGCATCTCCCTTCTTGTGTTTTGATGCTTCACTTTGGAGTTAGAAAATAACGGGGGAAAAAGCTCCCACCCACAGTAGTATGATGGAGTTGAGACGACCATTAGCAGAGTTGGAGGCCATTCCAGGCCTGTTTTGACCTCTCACGTGGCTGCTACAAGATAACCATGGAAATGGCCACAAAGATGGAGTGCCTAGAGATACCTTTTCAGGAACTGTCTATGACAGGCTTGTCAAACCGGCGGCCTTAGGGCTGGATGCATCACACACAGACCACACCCACCCAGGCTCCGCAAAAGCAAAAAAACCCACCGCAATACATCACACTATGTCCTGTGACGTGATCGAGTTTGACACGTGTGGTCTATAGAGATTCTCAGTCATCCAGGCCATGGTTATACTAACGGTGCTTTTTTGAAAGGCAATTGGATTTTTGTTTTGTTTTCCCTTGAAGACATTTCGCTTCTCATTTTCAGTTCTGACTGAATGCTGAAGGGTGGAAGGATTTACATTCTTTGCAGTCGTCTGGTTGTTAGTACTCTTTCTGAGAGTCATTAAAGCCATTTAGATCAGTGGTCGCTAACTCTTTGGACCTCAGAGACCACCAAACTCATAATTTTAAGTCCCGCGGACCAGAGACCCTGGGAAAATCCCACCCCAAAAGTCTAAGGAAAATTCCCCAACCCTGTTTTCCTACCGATCGATTGATCTTTATTTGGGATTGCAGGATATCATCTCCAGCTCTGTTCTCGGGGAGGGCAGGGGGAGGGGGAGAGAGACTTTTGGCTTCATGCAAGGAAAACAGCAGAAGCAGCAGAAGTCTTTCTCTCCCCCAAACTCTGCCAGAAATGAATCTTTGCTCTTGGAGCAGGATGTCTTGTAGGATCCCAAAGACTCATTTCTGGTGGAGTTTGGGGGAGAGAAAGACTTTTGTTGCTTTCTTTGCGTGCAGCCAAAAGCAGAAGAAGAAAAGTAGAAAGAAGCAACCCAGTGGCCAGGCAAGGCGTGTAGGATGAGTGGGGCAAGTTCCTCTCCTCCGCCCTTTCCCCACTCCCCTCACTACCTCGTGTTATTCACAATACAAGTGACGCAAGCCTTGTGTTCCCGCAGGCCATGTGAGCAGCACAGCCTCGTGTTCCCACGCAGCCTGGATTAATTGCTTTGGGGATGACATTTCTCTGCAGACCACCAAAATTTTCTTGCGGATCACCAGTGGTCCGCGGCCCAGTGAGAGGTGACTATTGATTTAGAGGTTCATCTGTGCCCTCGGGGCTACCTCAATCGTGCCAATGGGTGCACAGAGAAAGTTAGGGAATTGTTCTTGCCAGAGATAGGGGAGCACTTCATCTTGCTTGGATGATATGACTAACCAGGGAGAGTTAAGTCCAACAATCCCCTAAAGTCTCATGGTTCCCCAGAGCTCAATGTAAGCCCATCAGAGTTAATGAGATGGGTCAATTGATCTAGTTTTTGCATGCCTATCAACTTCCCTTGGCCAGCTGACCATGATGTGCAAACAGGGCTGCATTTATGGTTCAAACGAATCAATGTCACCCGGCGTGATTCCAGAGGACCAGATATACACAGCTGAGCCCACAGGACAACCTTCCGATCAAGGCTTAATTGTTGACCATTCCACTCCCCCAGCCTATGTCCATGCCGAGATGACTTTGTTGGCTATTGGGTCACCAGGTGCCTCGGGAAAGGATGTCACAGTCCTATTTGTCATTTTATGATCACAATTGTGATTGCTTTTAAGCTAATTTTCTTCGGGTGAAGAACATAGTATCTCATTTTTGAATTTGAGAAACTTGAGAAACAATTTTGAAATGCAGTGTGATAATCTTGGCATATGAGCTGTGGTGGTTAGAATGCAGTACTGCAGGCTAACTCTTCTGACTGCTAGCAGTTCAATCCTATCCAGCTCCAGGTTGACTCAGCCTTCCAACCTTCCGAGGTTGGTAAAATGAGGGTCCAGATTGTTGGGGGAAAATATGCTGACTTTGTAAACCACTTAGGGAGGATTGTAAAGCACAATGAAGCAGTATATAAGTCTAAGTGCTATTGCTACATAGTACAATTGTAGAAATATTCCTTGTAATTCCAGGTCAGTGACACCCACAGGTAGCCACACTATTCTTCCTGTTGCATGAATGAAGTCACACATAACATGTCATTAGGATTGTTGCTGGCAGACAACTAATTGATTTCCAGAATACCTACTTCTAAACTACATCATTGCAGTCAAAACTGGACCAGAATTCAGGGCACACTGATCATTTAGTAGCAAGGAATTCTTCAAACAATGCTATATGTATTCATTAAACTCATCTGAGATACAAGCATCTTATTTACTTCATTTTATTTTAAGTCTTCATCCACCGTATTATGATGTTCAGGATGATTAAGTAAAGCCATCTTTAATATTAAATCTTAAACCAAACAACAGCAATGTTAAATTAAGCATGACGATAAAACAGAATTATTGTAACTTGAGACCATCCACTCTGCTGCTAGTTTTTCCTCATCTCCTTCCTGTTTCCCCGACATTTTAGACTTTTCAGGAGAGCTGGGCTTGCACGTGATGTAGCCAAAATATGATAATTCAAAGAAATCAAACAAGTTTAAAAGAAGTTTAAAAAAAAAATAGAAAAGCAACAAAGATGATAAAGGCTAAATTATATGATGGTTGAAGGAGCTAGGTACAGTATGTCCAGCTTATCAAAGAGAAGGCTTAGGGGAAATATAATAACCATCTTCCAATACTTGAAGGTCTGCCACAGAGAAGACGGTTTGGGTTATTCTCTAAAGTACTAGGACAGAGAAGGCAGGACAAGAAGTAACAAGTGGAAGATCCACGCAGAACTAAGGAGAATTTTCCTATCAGAAAGAACAATCGATGGAATGGCTTATTTCTAGAAGTTGTGCATGCGCCATCACTGAAGGTTTTTAAGAGGAGGTTGGACAGCCATTTATCTGAAATAGTATAGGGTCTCCTAGCTCTAGCAGAGGATTGGACTCGAAGAGTAGTAATAGCAACAGCCATAACAACAACAATAACAATAATAATATCTGAAGGACAATGAAGAAGATGCACTGAAGTTAATATGCGAGGAAGACTTGCTGACTATAAGAGAGACCAGTACATTAAAAAAAAATAGTCCCTCCCAACCCTAAGATTCTGTGTTTGAATGATTTTTTAAAACATATTTTATTGTGTTTTACTAATCCAGGTGAAATGGGTAATATGTAAGCTAGTATATGTAAGCTGGTCCATGTATGATATGTTTAAAAATAAATATGTTCTAATTATAAATTTAATCTAAGGTTAAAACATAACACCTTTCAGTAATCTTTTCTGTAATCATCAAAACCATAAATCATAAGGTCATTTTTCTCTGTTTCATGCAAAAAAACTCGATCTGAGGTTTAGACAACTTGACAAGTTCCATCAACTTCACCAACTATTCCTCCATTCTGCGAAGTACTGAATGTTTCCATTTTTCTGCATACAGCAATGCTGCTACTAGTTGTCATGTACAAAAACTGTGATGAAAACCCTAAAAAAATGCTATTTGGATTGGTAGGATTGATGATAGATGATCTCTAATGAACAGAGGCACTGGATTACCTAATGCAGCAAGGTTGAGAAACCAGTTAAGTTTTAATGATAATTGCATTGTAAAGAATTAGGCTGCTTGATGATTATATCAGCTGATTATATTAGTAGCGGAAGTTCTCTATGTAAACAAAGGTCCTTTATCACGCTATGAAGGTTGATCACTCATTAATGTAATAATAGAGGTATCATCTTCACCATGAATAGCTACTGGCATTGACAGAATGTCACACTGAAATGAAAGCCTCATATTTTTTGGCTTCTGAATAAAATAAGTCTTAGCTGAATTGAGCCACTCTGGATAGAACTTTAGGTATATCTGTAATTTGTAGTTTTAAATGTTTTGTTATGAAATCATAGTGTGTGACTTGGACCACATGCAAAATGTTATAGGTAGTTCTCAATTTAAAAGTACAATTGAGGCCCAATTTTCCATTGCTAAGCTCCATTTTACCACCTTTCTTGCCACAGTTGTTAAGTGAATCATGGCAGTTCTTAAGTTAATAACAGAGTTGTTAAGTGAATCTGGCTTCCCCATTGACTTTGCTTGTCAGGAGGTCACAAAAAGGGATCACATAACTTTGGGACACCACAACCATCATAAATATGAGCCGAGCGGCCATTTTTTTTGTCATGTGACCAGAGGTGGCATTCAGCAAGTTCTGACCAGTCCTGGAGAACCAGTAGCGGACATTTTGAGTAGTTCGGAGAACCAGCAAATCCCACCTCTGACTGGCTCCGCCCCCATCTCTTCTCTGCTTCCCATTGAGTCCCAGCTGATTGGCTGGGTCTTCTTTGGTTGCCCTGCAAGGGAGAATGGAGCTGGAAAGCAGGTTAGTGGGGTGGGCAGGGAATGGGGATTGTGCAGTAACCTTTCCCTGCCATGCCCATCAGGTCATGTCCACAGAATCAGTAGCAATTTTTTTTTAATCCCACCACTGCACATGACCATGGCAATGCTACAATGGTCATAAGCATGAAAACAGTCCTAAGCTATATGAAGAATGAATGCAGGATTTGAGTTTGATCAGTCTAGAGAAGGCTGATCAAACAGTATTCCAGTATTTGAGAGGCTGCCACAAAGAAGAGGGGATCAAACTATCCTCCAAAAGCACCTGAAGGCAGGACAAGAAGCAATGGATGGAAACTAATCAAGGAGAGAAGCGAGCTGG